AAGCGCATAGGCCAACTCCAAAAGGATGGAGTCTTGGAATCGTTTGACCTCAAGTCAGATGATAGTTGCGAGTCTTGTTTACTTGGAAAAATGACAAAGTCACCCTTCACAGGTACTTGTGATAGGGGTGAAGGTTTGTTGGACCTTGTACACACGGATGTGTGTGGGCCCTTTAGAGTTGCTACAAGAGATGCTAATCGTTATTATGTGACTTTTACTGATGATTACAGTAGATATGGATATATTTACTTAATCAAGCATAAGTCAGAAACCTTTGAAAAGTTCAAAGAGTTTAAGCAGGAAGTTGAGAATCAATTGGGCAGGAACATCAAGATGCTCCGATCCGATCGGGGAGGAGAGTATCTTAGCATTGAGTTCCTTGACTATCTTAAGGAATGTGGGATTGTCTCACAATTGACACCTCCCAGGACACCACAATTGAATGGTGTGGCTGAGAGGCGCAATCGAACCCTGCTATATATGGTTCGTTCCATGATGAGTCGAGCTTCGTTACCAATCTCTTTCTGGGGGTATGCCTTAGAGACTGCTGCCCATATCCTTAATCTAGTCCCTACTAAAAAGGTTGCCAAAGACCTCACGATATGTGGACTGGGAAAGTGCCCAATTTGGACCACATCAAGATTTGGGGTTGTGAAGCTTTTGTGAGGTGTGAGACTCATGATAAGCTTGAGCCCCGAAGCGAGAGGTGTATTTCCATCGGCTACCCACAGAGATCCTTTGGTTACCTCTTCTACAGACCCAGTGATAATGTGGTCTTTGTAGCAAGAAGAGGAGTCTTTTGTGAGAGAGAATTAATAAGCCAAGGGGATAGTGGGAGGAAAATTGACTTTGAAGAGCTTCAAGAGTCAAGTGGTGAAGGAACCTCAAATACTGTCAGACAACCTGAGGAGGAAACTCCTGTTGAGCCGATAGACGAGTCTGTACCTCCAAGACGTTCCACTAGGGTGAGGAACACACCTGAATTTTATTATGGTTATCACATCACCACTGAAGGTGATACATTTATCAGTGATAGTACACTGATAGATTTGGATGAACCTAATAATTATAAGGAAGCCATGGCAGGCCCTGACTCTGCGAAAATGGAAGGAGGCTATGGACAGTGAGATTCAGTCCATGTATGACAATCAAGTTTGGAACTTGGTTGACAAGGCACCAGGTCGTAAGACAGTTGGGTGCAAATGGATCTTCAAGAAGAAGACCGACATGGATAGGAAAGTACACACTTATAAAGCACGACTGGTTGCGAAGGGCTCTACTCAAACTCCGGGAGTTGACTATGATGAGACCTTCTCACTAGTGGCCAAGATTAAGTCTATTAGAGTGCTGTTAGCCGTAGCTGCATTTCATGACTATGAGATATGGCAAATGGATGTCAAAACCGCTTTCCTTAATGGGAAGTTGGCTGAGGAGGTTTACATGGATCAGCCAGAGGCTTTTGTCAATCTAAAGTATCCTAATAGAGTGTGTAAGCTTGAAAAATCCATTTATGGATTGAAACAAGCATCTCACAGGTGGAATCTTTGCTTTAATGAGAAAGTCAAAGAGTTTGGCTTTTCTAGAAGTAAGGATGAGTCTTGTGTATATGTCAGGGCTAGTGGGAGCATAGTTAGCTTCTTGGTGTTGTATGTGGATGACATACTTCTCATAGGAAACGACATCCCAACTTTGCAGGAGGTTAATGCCTGGATTGGGGAAGTGTTTTGCTATGAAGGACCTTGGGGGAAGCTGCCTATATCCTAGGGATAAGGATATTGAGAGATAGGAGTAAGAGACTAATTGGACTTAGTCAAAGTACTTATGTGGATAAGGTACTGAAGAGGTTCAGTATGCAAGATTCCAAGAAAGGAGAGGTACCAATCCAGAGTAATGCCAAGCTAAGTAAGACTCAGAGTCCGAGTACAGAGGCTGAGATAGCTGAAATGAGTCAGATACCATATGCTTCCGCTGTGGGCTCGATCATGTATGTTATGACTTGTACTCGCCCTGATGTGGCCTTTGCTTTGAGCATGGTCAGTAGATATCAAGGGAACCCTGGCAAGGCACACTGGACAGCGGTAAAGAACATTCTCAAGTATTTGCGGAGGACTAAGGACTGGGTCCTTACCCTCGGAGGCAATGATGACTTGAGAGTGGAAGGATATAGTGATGCTAGCTTTCAAACTGATAGGGATAATTTTCACTCTCAGTCAGGCTAGGTCTTTATCCTAAATGGAGGAGCCATTACTTGGAAAAGTTCCAAGCAGGAGACAGTAGCTGATTCGACTTGTGAATCAGAGTACATAGCAGCAAGCGAGGTAGCAAAAGAGGCAATATGGCTAAAGAGATCACGGGAGATCTAGGAGCCAATGGAAATTTTCTGACATAGCAGCAAAAGAGGCAATTCGACTTGGAGTTGTACCAGCTATAAAGGAGCCAATGGAAATTTTCTGTAACAGTGAAAGTGCGGTTGCTTTGGCGAAGGAACCAAGAGATCACGGGAGATCTAGGCACATTGACAGAAAATACCATTTCATCAGACATAGAATAGAAGAAGGACTCCTCGTGGCAAAGAGGGTATCATCAAATGAGAACCCGACAGATCCCCTCACGAAGGGACTGAGCAGGGTTAAGCATTTACAGCATGCAAGGCGCATTGGGCTGAAGGATGATATTAGTTTCGATAATTAGATTCCTGAAACTTGTAAAATGTAATTGACATTTGATGATAAATAAAAGTTGTTATTTATTTATGAGTAAGGTGTTACTATCTTATGTTGATTGTTTACTATGTTTCAATTTTGCATGTTTTTACTTCCAGAATAATTATGTTATGGTATATATCATATTATTCAAACCATCCACAGTCAGTAAAACTTTGGAAGTAAGTATTGATTTAAGACTGTCATGAATTTGGCTTGTATGATTTGTCTAAAGTGCTTTGGACAATGCAATGGTTGCTACAACATTCATGAGTACTCATAAGGGCTGAGTATTGGATTCAACCCACGCTCACTTGCATCACTTCATGGAATTTATCTCGAGTGATCGTGAGACGATAATATCATATAAATCTTCAAACCTAGGGATATGAGTTGTTGACTATGAGTTGGTTATTCATTGATTGTACGAAAACGCATTGGTAACTCGATGTTATAAAACGTGCCTTTGTGAGTAATTCAACAAGTAGTTAATACAAGCATATCAGCCGAAGTTTATCTGTTCCTTCTAGAAATAGAAGCGATATCTGGGCCCCTCGATGATTTGGTTTTGACCCATGTACCGGGCCCGGTCAGAACCTAATTGATGTGTTCAATTTAGTTCTATATCGAAACAAATCGGAGATCGAGAAACAAATGTTGGAAAATAAGTAAGACCATGTTCCATGTGTTTGTCCGGCTGATATCATGAGAGCAGAGGATTATATGATCAATTATCTTAAATGGCGTATCATCATCATCTCAGTTCCGAGAGACTTTGAAAGAGCTACGATTGCTAGTCAGGTTTTGAATTCATATTTGCAAATATAGTTATTAGACTTATCCAAGTGGGAGACTGTTGGATATAGTGTCTAAGTTCATAACTTTATTTGGTATGAACTTGACCCGACCCGGCATGGTCCATTTGGGTTGCATGGCATTGCAATACTTGGATAGACTAAATGAGAGAATAAGGTACTTATGATTATTAATATATTATAAGTTCTAATATATTAATAATAGTATTATTTAATTAGTATTTGATCAAGTATTAATCTAGTATTAATTTGGTGATCAAAGTGAAACTAATTAAATATGTAAGGGTTGATTATGACAATCATAAATTCTTTTATGGTGGATTAATGATCCATGGTTTATGGGTTATGGATGAGACCATTTGGAGCTCCATGGATAGTCCATGGGAGTTACAAACCCATGGGTCATGAGAAATGAAGAGTCGTGATAATTATGGGTCTTCTTAATGAAACCCTAATTGTGACACCACTATAAAAGGAACCCTTTGGCTAGTAAAATCGGACCTAGGAGGTTAATAGAGAGGGCATAACCAATTTTGAGTGCTACAAGTATTCTCTCAAGTTATTCCAAGTTTTGTGGTGTTGTGTGAAGCATTTGAGGCACAACATTTGGGGTGCTAGGCTCACAAAGTCTTGAAGGAATCCAAGCAACAACAAGGTATGTATTTTACTAGTTTTATGTTTTATGTAATCCCCATGCCATGCTAGTTAGGAAATAACCTTGAAAAAGAAATTTGCATGTATATAGAGAAAACATAGATTCAAGGTTATTAGGGTTGCATGTACACTTAGGAAGTGTTAAAATGCTCAAAA